ACTCTACAACTTTTATAAAGGATTAAAATTTATTTACTTAATATATTTTTTCAAAAAAATTAGATAAAAAAAAGTAATAAAAATTTGCAACTAATTATATATAGAAATGATCAACGTTGTACTCTACCCTTAATAAAGTAATGACATAACTACTTAAATGAAAAACCTGTTAAATTTATAAGAATTACCAAATGTTAGTATTAAATAGCAAAAACTTGTCCCTTACAACGTACAAGGTCACGTGTTACTATGTTTTTGCAGGTAAATTTGCCTGCAAAAATTATAATAAAAAATTATTTGGGTGCAAAATAAACCAAATTTATCTGACTACATTTTTTTTAATCTCGTGAAACATTTTGTCCAATGGGAAATAAAATCTTCATCGGTCCAATAGGAAGTAGTGGGGAAATTAGTTAATCCCGTTTCGGAACAATAAAAAGAATCGTAAGTATTATACTAAATTTAGCGATGACGTATTATTCATTTTCGGTTAGTTAAGTTGATTGGCATACGTACTACGTTTATGATTCGTATCTGGTAACACTGTATACCAACAATCACTAGAATTAAAAACAAATATCAAATATATTACACTATAACAAGAAAATATCACTGATATTTTATTATTTATGTAAATAAGATCTAATAGCAAACAATAATATTTAATTACAAATAACAGTTTTGACAAATGCTATATATTTTCAATTGATGTATAAATAAATTTAAATTTGATATAGTTCTAATTTAACTAATATGGAATAAAATAAAAGTGTTCTTTAAAAAATAGATATTAAAATCATTAAATTGCGATATTTTTACTTAATAATAACGATATTATAGACTAAATTAACTCTTGTCCATCATCTGGGGTAATTAACCCATCATCATCGGATGATGATGACGATGTACTAGTTGAAGACATGTCATAAGTATTTCCTCCTTCACTAATACTACCAACACTACCGCTAGTATCACTATCTGTTTCACCATAATCAGTACTTTTAGTTTGTTTCATTTCATCCAATTCATCTTGACCGCTAGAATGCTCAAACCCGTCACTACTACTATTAAGAGGACTAAGGTGACCGAGTCCGTCAGGAGAACTTGAACTATCACGATCAATTCGGCCCAAACCATCATTAGGAGCAAAACGATTATATCTATTTTTTCTCTCTTCATGCTTCAATTCACTACGACCTCTTTGTATTGCACGTTCAATTTTTAAACGGTTAGAGATCATGTGAAGCTTCGGCCATGTGACACGCTGTCCTTTCATTATCATTTGATCCAATCTATTGTAATCAGGATCAGTAAGGATATAAAAGAAATCCCATATTGATGATTTTGGCCATATTGTAATGTTTCCCTCAAATCTTTGTAACCAAATAGAACTCCAGTCTTGATCAGCAAACTTTGGTAGAAGTTCAAGATCCCTAACCCATTTTAACCATTTATTTAAATCCAGTTTTAAATATTGTTCTATACTAGCAACAACGAATCCTCCACGCCATCCTCTGCCATGACGATGACTAACGGGACGACCAACGCTGCCACGTGGGGCATAAAAGAATAGATGAACATGGGGATTAACTTGAGAAACAATAGTATTTTTAACATTAAAGTGCATGTAAAGTGATTGAGTAGGAATATCGGTACGCAAAGAACCATCTTTCCACTTGTGACCATAATTGTATGGAGCTAATGTACCATTTTTCAATTTTTGCATAAGAACCACGGGGTTAAGGATGCCAGGTACGGCAGCACTTGCAATTACTATAAATGAATATTATTAATAGTTAAATAGATTAATAAAGAAGATAATAATAAATTCTTAAAGAATAAATTAAATAAGATATAAAACATAGTTTACCAGCAGACCAGATGACACAATCAGGAGCCGTAACATAATTCAAAACTTTAGGAGGAGAATGTGGATCATTTGGTATAACAGAAATGTTTAGAATTCTTCCAGTTCGTTCGTATGCTTCTCTGAAAGTTAAACTTCCTTTTGTAAGCCATTGAACTTTTCTAGACCACTCATAAGCATCAAATCGAGCACCCTAAAAGAATTTTTAGAATATAAAATTTAAATTTAAAAACTAATCTAAAAAAAGAGATCAAAATTTTAATAACATTTACCGTTAACCACCATCTTTTGAACCATTGAGGAAATTTCTCAGAACAAGCGGTAAGACGTTGACATAATTCAGGTTTCAAGACTTGTACCAGTTCATCATCAGTTCTCACACAAACCAAGGCAGCAATTAACGCACCAGCACTGGTACCAGTTATAATTGTGGGCAAGATATCAGCATCGAATAAAGCTTTAACGACGCCAACATGATAATAACCAAAGCATGCACCACCACTGAGACATAAAGCTGTTCTGCCATAATTTTTATAAGTGTTTCTAAAAAGTTTACGTTTTTCTTCAAATGACAAACTTTTAGTTGTCCGTAAAACATCAAGTGATTCAGAGACTAATATATACACACATATATATATATTATATGATTAATATAAATGATATAATAGATGATGATGGGATGATTATAAAATGATTATTAATATTCACCTTCATCATAGTATTCTTCGACAATTTGTTTAGTTCCGTAATAAGTTTGAGAATATAAGCTAACATTTTCGACGCCAGCAAAGTTGTTTTTTACGCAATGTTGAAGGGCACTTTTTAGCATTGGTAAATTTTCGGTTGGACCTTGTTTTAAATTCTTTAGATCTAGATTAACCTTTTGTAAAAGGTTAAAATCATAATATCCAAATGGAACTTCATCCTTCCAACTATCATAATCCAAATACGAATCAAGATCTTTGGCAGCAGCAATCCATTCATCATAGGTTGTAGATCGACGAAGTTGTTCACGTAGTCGATATTTTTCACCACGCCTTTATTAAACGTAATGAATCAAAACATTAATAATTGATAATAATAATAGACCTTGTAAATTGAAAATTTGGTATATGAACCTACCATTGGACGAAATACTCCCAAATATTCACAATTTGACGTATTAAAATGTATAAAGCAAGTTCGAATGTGATAATACAAAAAATAGTCAACTAAATTCACCAAAGGAATATATAATAAATGTTGATTAAGATTTGTAAATATAAATCTGAAAAAAAAATGAAACCGAATCATTAACTCACCATCATGGGGAATCTAACGATATGATAGGAAACACCTTCAAATCCATTCGGTACTTTTATTTTCTTCTTAACCTTTTGATGGATCGGCATGAAATCATTCATAGCAGCAATGTGTTCCGTCAAATCCTTATCAGGATCCTCAGAAAGAGCTTTTTCGAATGCGGCAAGATGACTTTCGTCAATATATTCAAGAGAGAGTTCATCAGGTAAATGTTGACTGTGTTTTTTTGATTTAGATGAATATTTTCGAGAACCTTTCAGATTAGAAAATGCAGTTGTCCTTCTAGGTATTGACATGATTGTATAATTGTTAAAAGTGATCTGATCTTAGATAAATTTATAGAATTCTGAATTGAAAAAAAATTTTAAGAAATATTGATTGTTGAATAAAGATATGCTTATTCAGGATGTAAGTTATTTACAAAAGTGATGGAGAAAAAATTCGATTCTCGACTAAACACCAAGTTAACAAGCAGATCAACTGCATGTACTCAACACAAATGAAACAACAAAAAATATAAATTTAATCAATATATTTTTTTTTTTTGGAGGAATGTATTATTTACAGAAGTTGATTGAATAACCACGCAAAACAAAAAGAAAAAATATAACGAAGATTAAAAAATATAGAAAATATGAATTGTTTAAAAATAAAACAAGGAGCTTTTATATATTTCCAGTATACTCTAAAAATATAAAACTGTATACAATACATCTTGTACAATCATGTAATGATCGACGGTTTTTTACGCCAAAAATGGCAATAACAGAGTTTTTACCCCAAAATAATGCATAAAGTTTTTTTGGGGAAGAAAAATATTTCTGCAAGAAAACGTGACTCATCGATAAAGATCTTTGATTATAGAACCCTGAAATTTTGATCGCTTTCAGGGGTTCCGTAAGTTTATTTTCGGGAACATGTGAATTCAATTGGATTCAGCATAAACGCAATATGCAAATCTATCGCAATGTAAGTAGTTTCTAATTTGCAATCTGACTTCTTCACCTCAAGACAACTTATGATCTTGAAGTCTGCATCCTAAAACCTAATCATTCGCCTTCTTACAACCGTTTTGGGGTTATTGCAGATTTTTATCAATTATTCTATTTAAGAATGATCACAATAACAAAATAGCAAATTTGTTATTGTTACGCATCTTACAAATGAAAAACTGTCCGAAAAATAATGATTGTGTTAAAGGAAATCTATGTAATACCAAAAATTACAATTGTTGTGTGGATAATTAATGGACTTGGAATTCACCTAAAGATGTAGAAGGTTTTACGTTCTCCCCAAATGAGAACATTCACATGGATGGCGTATCTAATGTAGCTGTAATTACTGCTGCTTCTTTTGGATGTCTTAATTTTTTTGCATCACAAACAAATCGATTTGGTTATATACATTTTTAAAACAGTAATTCATCCTCCGCATGGTATTGTCATAATTTGATAACGATAATACCAGTGTTATATGAATGGGCCAAATGCAATGCAAAGATTTTCAAGTTTCTATCTGGTTATGCTCATATAGATATATATGCAACTCAAATCGCAAAAACAGCATGAAAGTTGCCCAGATGATGCAGATTGGTTCTTATACATGGTAACCTAAAAGCTATTTTTTGATGCATTTAAAATATCTGTCCGTACAAGTTGTAATATTATGACTGCTTATGAAAAATAAAAATTTTTAATCTGTCTGTCCGTTTTTTTGTAATCTGATTGGTCAATTTCAAGTACCGTGATCGGGATTATCCGTTGTTGATATATGCCCTTTTTAATAATGCATGAACACTATGGTATGTATTGTAACCTATTTTTGGCCAATTTTTTTAACTATGAAAATAGTGATGACATAACGTCTATTGAAATTAAAATTTTCAGATCTTCATAAATTTGATGAATTAAATTGACGTGTATCAAAAATAACGTTTCACAGATGCATATCATCCTAACTCGTAATATATTAACGTTAAGCCCTAAAATTCTAAACAATATGCAATATTCAATTTTGCTAAAGTGAAAAACAAAAAGTCATATTTCAAATTTTTGCAAAAAGTATCCAAATAATTGAACACTTAACTAACAATAGTCAATTTGAGTTTTTTTCCTTCGCTATTCAGCTAATATTTGTTTATTTTGTGCCTCTTAGTGTAAATATTAACGATAACCATATCATTAAGTGGTCTTGGTGTTATTTTAATTTCTAATTCGATATACATAAATACATTTAAAGTATGTGTCGTATGTTATATATAGATGATGTTTAGATCACGAAATATGTGCAATACAAAAATAATTTCGGTAAGTGACCTCTAGCACTATGTAATTCGAACTTCATGCTCTAAGTTGTTCGAACCATATATTATGTATATTCTAAAAATTATATAAAATCAGAATAACTTTTATTAATTGACATTTACAAAATACATTTTTAAGAAAAAATTTTAAACTTGTTCGTAGAAACGTTATTTTGTAAATGTCAATAAGAAGTTATCCTAATTTTATAAAACTTTTATAGTATACGTAATTTAGTAGTCTGAATAACTTAAAGTGTAAAAGTCGATTTACATAGTGCCAAAGTCACTTACCTTATAGTCAAGTTTATATTTCGCTAGAATTCCATTAATCTTTGTGAGTGGTATAAAAATCATCCAATTCTGATCGCTAGATCACGTGATGGACCAAATTCATCACAATATCCCCTTATCAAAATACCCTTATGTAGGGATTAGGGTTGGTTTTGGTGTCGATTTACCAATCCTTCTTTTTTAACAAATTTATCCATTGCTCCTATAATTTTTTCATATAGGAAGAGAAATATAGGTAAAATTGCCTTTCTGACATTTTTAATTAGTGCCTTAAGACAGGTTTAGATTGCTGTTTTTCATCGTTTTGCGATTTCTAAATTTTTTGACTTCTTCGGACTTACCGTGTAAACAGATTAATTTACACAAAAAAGTCACGTGGCACATGGCTTTAGACGACCTTTATATAGTAAAAAATTGAATGAAAGCATCTTATAATACGATTGTAACCTGTTGTATAAAAAAAAAAAGATTAATAAATAATCAAAATGCATCAAAATATTATGTAATCTTTATTATGTAACCTACTTTCACGCACACATATAAGAAATACATAACTGATTCTTTATACAAAACTAGTAGACCTTAATGCCTTATGTTTTCACTAGAGATGTGGTAGAAAATGTTACTGCATAATACGTAACAACTTTTACCATCTCACAAACAAAATACTAAAATACTGATTCCGTTCATTTCATCGAAAGTACGATTCACTGACAGTCATTTCACCGACAGAGTAATTCTGATCATTGTCATTAAGGTCAAATTAGAATTAGAGCTAAGGTTGGTGTAATTTATAAAAAAAACTTGTCGGTGAAACGTACTGCCAGTGAATCGTGCTTTCGGTTCATAGGCAGAAGTTCGTCTGATTGGCTAATAATTTAATTTAATTTTACCTTATTTATACAGTTTAGAGTACTTTTTAAAAAAACGAAAACCAACCATAATAACTATATAAAAGGTTTCATTAGAGCTATAGGACTCCATAGTCAAAAATACAGTCTAATTCTCGTCCGTTTAAAAAATTAGCTTAGTAATAAGTTGGTTTTGAGAGGTTATTACTATACTAATTTTTTTAAACGGACGAGAATTAGATCTTATTTTTGGCTATAGAGTCCTACAGCTCTAATGAAACCTTCTATACTGCTTTTTTTATTCATTATGATTAGTTTTCAGTGTTTTTTTTTAAAAGTACTCTAAATTGTATAAATAATGTAAAATTAACTTGAATTTATTAGCCAATCAGACGAACTTCTGCCTATGAACTTTCGGTAAAGTAAACTTGTCAGTAAATTGATTTTCAGTGAGATGAACCGGATCCTAAAATACTGACCTTTCTTTCTTTTATAGTAGGTTCAAAAAAGGTAGTCATCATCAGTTATCATCTCAAAATACTTTTTAATTAAAATAAACGGTTATCATAAATAAAAATGTATTTTATAAACAAATATAAAAGTGTTTCTATGAGGTAAAGTGACATTTTCGAAATTATGATAAATTGCGCCCCAAGAAGGCTTGGATGTTTGTTAGGCAAAGATTATGATGACGAATAACATGTAGTTACAAAGATGAATCACAATGATAAAGGCTTAGCATAACTGAAGACACTTAAGCCTCTTTATTAGTTCATGTAAGTTATTTAAAGTACGTAACTTGAGTAAAGTTGGTTATAAAAGTATTATGTGTTAAATTAACCCATAATAGTGTAAACCGAACAAGTAGGTAAAATAAAATCAGGTCTAAATTAAAAATCACGTCGCGAAAAGGCATTTATTTTTATTTAAAAAACAGATCATGTCTAAAAAACACGTTATTTTCGCAAATACTCGTGACACATTACCCGGGTCATAGGAGGATATCCATATTATTGGCTGATGTAAATCAATCTGCCCATCCACTATTGAAACCAGAGGAGGAAACGTACCCGATCCAAAGTGAATCCCACACACAGTGTGATCAATTAAAACTAAAATAAATAATTTTAGTTTTAACTGATCACACCGCGTGTGGGAGACGTCTTATACCTAAAAGGAAAATTTGTTGGACGTGAAAATTATTACACAGTACAAAAATTTTTTTTTAGCTTTTTTTTTTTTTTAACAATAAACCAAAAACCGCTTTTTAACTTTCTAATAAGGTTAGCGCAACCTCTATTAGAATCATAGACTTCGGCTTTGAAGATATGCCCTAGGTATAAATTCAACTATTATCGGTATCATGTATGATGGTTTTGAGAGGTTCAACTGTATATTGTAGTATAATAAAGTGTATAGTTAAAGTTGATAATAGATAAATCTTCATTCTGATTATATGTATTTTTAATAATATTTGAAATTAAGTCTTTAATTAGTGTTTCTCTTGCCTTTATTTTTTCTGTTTCTGTTTTTTTGTAAAAAGTTGTGTATAGTATACACAGGTTGAATGAATGAATAAAGAGTGAATAATAGATAAATAACAAAAAAATTCTGTCATTATTTTACTCTATATCTACCAAATAATGACAGCATAATAGCAACATAACAGTAGAATAACAATAAAATAATAAGAGATTTGTTGATATAAGTAATATAATAGTAACATAATAGCAAAATAATAGAACAGTTTTATTATTTTACTTTTAGTTACAAAGATTAAAAGTAAAATAATAGAACTGTTCTATTAATTTGCTATTATGTTACTATTATGTTATTTATATTAACAAACCTC